GTTAGAGACAGCCAGAACACTGCCCGAGACCAGCAACACACGGCCCCAACACCCGTCCAGGAGGCGCCCCCAAGGGCCGACGACGTCCCCGAGAAGGGCCCCGCAAGGGCCAACGGGCCCGAGGTGGCCAGGGACTCCCCTGGACGCCCCGTGCGACAGCACCTCCGCCTGCGGCCACGACGCCTTCCGGATTGCGTTGACAACCGGGCCAGGATCTGGGTCCCCAGGGGGACCCTCCCCCCTCCAAATCGACTGGACCTGGCTCCGGGGGGAGGTGTTTGGGAAGGGGGAAGGGTTTCACACGCCGATGAATTCCAAGGGGACGGCGGATTTTCACGTGTCGAGGCCCTCATGGGGATTCTCTTATGGCTCTCTTTCGGCGTCTTGTGCCGACTTGTGCCGCCTTGCGGATCTTTTGGTATGTTCTTCAAGCCCCTCCAGCGTTTTGGAGTCTTTTTGGAGCCATCTCAAAAAGCATCTTAGGCATCTCTCAGGCCGAGGAGTCGATTTTGAGGCTCCACGGGATTTTTGACCCCAAGGGGGTGGGAAGGGGGAGGGGCGACAGCCAGTCATCTCACACGCCTCTTCACTGCAGGTAAATGGGTCGGCGGATCTCTCTCGCCTCTCCCTTTTCTATCCCTTTTTTTGTCTCTCTCTCTCTCTCTCTCCCTTTCTCTCGTCGCCTCAGTTCATGTCTACTCTGCCCTCCTCTCCCTTCCTCTCTCCTCTTCTCTCCTCCCTCTGCATGTTTGGACCAGAGGACCACCCGGGCCGTCCCCACCCACACTCTGTCCGCCCGCGGTCGGGGTGCCGCCGAGCGCCGACGGCAGAGGGCCGCGATGCCCCCCACACGACGGCGGCCGCTCTTTACGCCCCGCGGGCGTGCACGCCGCTCCCGGTGCCGGACCACAGCGGCTTCCGCTCCCGGTCCCGGATCACAGAAGGTCAGCTTGCAGGCCCTCGCTGCGGTGTTCCGCCGCCGCTTTCTTGGCGTGCATCCTGCATGCCGTGCCCGCGGACGGCCGCCATGTCTGATGACAAATGGTGATGATGGTGATGATGTTGATGATGATGATGATGATGATGATGATGATGATGCTGCTGCTGCTGCTGATGATGATGATGATGATGATGATGATGATGATTATGGTGCTGGTAATGACGATGATGATGATGATGATGACGATGCTGATGATGCTGATGATGATGACGATGCTGATTCTGATGATGATGATGCTGATTATGATGATGATGATTCTGATGCTGGTAATGATGATGATGATGCTGCTGCTGATGATGATGACGAAACTGATGATGCTGATGATGATTAGGATGATGATGACGACGACGATGATGATGATGATGATAATGGAATTGATGATGATGAAGCTGATGATGATGATGATGACGATGACGATGATGATGATGATGATGATGATGATGAGGATGCTGATGATGATGATGATGATGATGAGGATGCTGATGATGATGATGATGATGATGCTGATGATGATGATGATGATGATGATGATGGTGCTGATGATGCTGATGCTGATGATGATGCTGATGCTGATGCTGATGCTGCTGATGATGATGATGCTGATGATGGTTCTGATGCTGATAATACTAATGCTGATACCGATGCTGATGCTGGTACTGATGCTGATGAGGATGAGGATAAAAGGGAAGGTCAATATTAGGGACGATGCTGCTGCTGCTGCTACTACTGCTGCTGCTGACGACGGCGACGTCGACGACGACGACGGCGTCGCGGACGCCGACGCCGACGCCGACGCCGACGCCGACGCCGACGCCGACGCCGCCGCCGCCGATGATGATGATGATGATGATGATGATGGTGATGATGATGATGATGCTGATGATGATGATGATGATGATGATGATGATGATGATGATGACGACGCCGACGACGACGAAGACGACGACGATGATAATGGTGATTGTCGGTGGTTGTGGTAGGGTTGTCGGTGGTGGTGGCGGGGGTGATGATGGTGGTGGTGACGATGATGAAGATGAGGATGATGTGGGTGATGATGATGCTGATGATGATGATGGTGATTGTGATGATGATGATGATGGTGATGCTGATGGTGATACTGATGAGGGTGGGGATGGTGATGATGATGATGATGATGGTGATGCTGATGCTGATGCTGACGACGATGATGATGCTGATGACACTTGCGATGATGATGATGATGATGATGATGATGATGATGATGATGATGATTAGGCTGATGAGCCTGATGATGCTGATGCTGATGCTGATGCTGATGATGATGCTGATGCTGATGCTGCTGCTGATGATGATGACGATGACGATGATGCTGCTGCTGATGCTGCTGCTGATGATGATGATGATGACGATGATGATGATGCTGCTGATGATGATGATGATCATGCTGCTGATGATGATGATGATGCTGCTGCTGATGATGATAGTGCTGCTGCTGATGATGATGATTGATTGATTGGTTGATTGATTGATTGATTGATTGATGATGATGATGATGATGATGAGGCTGATGATGTTGATGATTATGATGCTGATGCTGAGACTGGGGATGATGATGATGATGATGATGATGATGATGATGATGATGATGATGATGATGAGCATGATGATGATGATGATGATGATGATGATGATGATGATGATGACGATGATGCTGATGATGATGATGATGATGATGATGATGACGACGATGAATGGATGATGGTGGTGGTGACGATGATGATGATGATGGTGGTGATGATGCTGATGATGATGATGATGCTGCTGCTGATGCATGATGATGATGATGATGATGATGATGATGATGATGATGATGATGATGATGATGATGATGATGATGATGATGATGATGATGATGATGATGATGATGATGATGATGATGATGATGATGATGATGATGATGATGATGATGATGATGATGATGATGATGATGATGATGATGATGATGATGATGATGATGATGATGATGATGATGATGATGATGAGCTGGCGCAGGCGTTCGGTGCAGCCCACCACGCCTTCCCGTCGCAGGAAGCACAACGCGTGCAAGGGTGCCCGCAGCGAAGACTCCATGTCGGCCGTGGCCCGTCTTCGCGAGCACGTGGGCGCGAACACGACGCCGCAGGGCCTCTGCCCGCCGCGCGCCCAGGCCGTGCGCCTGGGCCGCTGCCGCGGAGGCGTGCTGTCGCAGAAGGTAACGCGTGGACCGTCGACGACCCGATGCGCCTCCGCCTGCACACCGTTCCGCCTCGCAGTTGCTGCCTTTGTCGGGCCGGACGAAAGGGGGGGATTGGGAAAGGGGGGGGTACGAAATTTGCTGCATGCAGCTGGTTTCGGCCTCACCGAGGGGCGCAGTCCTCGATACATGGCCGCCTCCGGCGCTGGGCGCCGGGAGAATCAGCTACGCGAGCTGATTCTCCCCCCCCCCCTCTGCTATCCCCTCCTTTCGCCTTGCGCCTGGCGCACCTCGATGTGTTTTTGTGCCCGCGCGTGCCGCAGGTGTCTCGCACGCGGCGGCGGGGCTCGCCTTGAGCCCTGACCTGGCCGGCTGAGCTTCATGGCCGGACGCGCGGTCCAAGTGACAGGGGCGGCGCTTTCCTTACAAGGCTCCCCGCAGCGCGCCACAGCTCGGGTATGACATGGCTCTGAAGCGCGCGCGCGGGCGGGCACAGAGGGCCGCGCGCGCGTTGTGGGGAGTACGTGGGGATGACCATCGTGGATCGCATGTGGAAGGACTCCACTAATGGCAAACACTAGGGAGCCTCTCGCCGCCACGGCGCCTCCGCTCCGTCCTTAGAGGGCCGCGCTCTGGCGCGTATGCGAGCGTACACGACCAGCCAGGCGGGACACGCCAACCACACCTGGACGGCTTTTCGGGCCCGAGGACGACGCCCTGGGCCTCGGGGCTGGCCTTCGGGCCGCCTCGAGACGCGCCTGCGCTTTTAGTCCTCGCCATCCCGACCCTGAGATCCTGGCGTTGCATTGTTTTGGCGTCTGGCGTTGTCGCACCCTTTAGGGCCGTTTGGGGGCCCGGGACCACATGTCGATCCGGCTCGATCCATGGGGTCCAGGGTTTTGGTCTTTCTCTCTTCCGCGGTGTTCGAGTCTTTCTCGGGACGTCGGGTCTCAGGGTCCATCGGCGGCCCACGGGTTCGCTCGGTGCGCCCGTCATTTGCGCGCCAGGCGCGGAGCGGGTGGCTTGGCATCGCTCGGACGTGTGCGTTTTTCCTCGGCGAGGACCATCGAGGAGCATCCTTGATCATTTGGCGAAAAAAAATCACGCACGAAACCAAAACAAACACGAGGAATGGACGTCCGAGCGATGGCCAGGGTGGGCCCATGCCGTGTCAGTGGCGCCGCTTCGTCACCGAGGGCCGCGCCCCCTTGCGTTCCGCGGTCGCATGCCATGCGCTTGCAGCAAAGCGAGCAGGTCATCCGTTCCGATTGACCGCATGCTGGATCCCACTAAGTTTTTTGTTCCTGCGAGTGCGTCGCGGCCTCGGACAACTTCCTGCCGCCAGGGGGCCGCAGCCAGCCGCGCACTGAAACCACTGCACCGCGGCCCGCTGTTGGGTTTTGGCCTCGCGTTCCCCCCTTTGACCCCCCAGCCGGCTGGCGGCGCTGCACACGTACGGGCGCCCACGTCGCATTACCGCCGTCGGTCGTTGTCGTCAACGTCGTCGTGTGGTCGTCGTCACTATCGTCGCTGTCTTCATCGTCGTCGACGTCGTTGGTGCCGCCGACGTCGTCCTCGTCGCCGCCGCATTCGGTGCAGTCCCTGAAGTCCGACGTTGCGGAAAACGTTCGACATCGTCAACATAATGGTCAGACCCGAGACTTGGGCCCCGTCTTGTCCTGGGGCCCAGCACGGGGCACCCGGATCTCAGCGGTCGTCGTGGTCGTCGTCGTCGTCGTCGTCGGCGGCGGCGGCGGCGGCGGCCGCGGCGGCGCTTCGTCCCGCCAGGAACCTCGGCGGCACCGCCCACCTGCGCGGGGGCCCTGTCGGCGGCGGCCCCGCGCCCCAGGGCCGTGGAGGCGGCGCCCCACTCGGCGGCCGCGCTGCCGCCGCCGCCCTCGTGTTGTCCCGACGGCGCCGTCGCCGCGCTTGTCGCAGCCGCCGTCGCCAGCGTGGTCGTCGCCAGCGTTTTCGCCGCCGCCGCCGTTCAGAGGAGGGCGAGCCTGGCGATGGCGAGCACATTTGTCTCCGTCTCGATCTCGGCATTTCTCGCT